GGCGACGTCCGAGCCGGCATGCCTTCATATTTATCTGTCTCGCTCATGTCTGCGGTAGGCTCGCTTAGCATAGGGGGTCTAGCCTTAGGACCCTTACTGGATACAGACGCCCCAGGCAGGAATCGAACTTGCGATCCTCTGCTCCAAAGGCGTGTAGTCTAACCACTACGCTATATATATATATATATATATATACACAAACAAAACAAAATTTATATATATATATATATAAATTTTGTTTTCTAAGGCTTTCAAAACCTCACTCTCACTGATGATATACTGATGATACAGATCTCTGTCTACAGATTCAAGAACTTCAGTCCTGAGATATGTTTTCCTACCACTGATTCTGCTTTTGGAGAACATTGCCCTTCATTTCTACTATAAGGTACATCAGAGAAAATAAATGCATGTATTAAACCAAGTAGCAGCTGTGTAGGAACAATAACATGGATTGTGTCCCGTCTCTCCAGGTCTCCAAAAAGCAGAAACCGGCCAAAAAAGAGAACGCTGAGACGGATGTTTCCAGAGCTGAAGAAGTTCACGCTGAGGAGGAAACAGCAGAAGAGATAGAATAGTCTTACGCGCACACGTGCACACACACACACACACACACACAGGTGGAGAGGCTTTCACCCAAATATTATTTCTCACAGGTTGATAAATAAATACAATAAGAAAAGAATTTGCTCTTTAGTGACAAGGTTCAACTATAGAGCACACAACAAGGTGAAGAATAGAGTGAAAACAATGTAAAAAACAGGATGCAAATGTGTGTTTCTTATATAAATTTGTGGAATCTTGAGGCATGTTAAGATTCGTGTATATACTGTATGATTTCCTTTTACATATATACCCTAAAAACCCCTAAAACTAGAAGACAGAACTTGCTCTGTAAGCACTGATGTTACTACGTGGCAAATCTCTATTTTGAGAACTGCTTAAGGTAAAATGGAAGCAGAGACATATTTTTTTATGTTCTTTGAAGTTTGATTGCAAAATTGACATTATTGACAAAGACATTATAGTAAACAGTTGAGATGAGTACATAGAAAAAGCACATCAAAACAATGCCTACAAAGAAAATGATGGTCTTGTATGAAGATCTACTGGAAACAAATTCTTCATTCTGTAACTTGGAACTGAATAAAAATTTGTCTCACAACATTTAATGTTTAAAGTGTGAGCACAGAGCTGCCAGCAGAGACACAGGAAGTCAGTGTGATCGAGATAAGGGTATCTTATAACTGCTACTGCTTTACAAAGATAAAATTCAGAACAACAAAATAACTGTGGTAAATTTATTAGTAACTATGAATTCGTTTTTAGCTGATATTTTCTGTATTCAGAAATCTTTGCACCTGCTCTAAAGCTATATCTCTCTGTATTAACATTCACCTGATAAGTCTGTCATCGAGGACTCTGTTCTTCATGTCATGTTTGTGAGTTATATTTTTGACACTTTGTTTTCATTAAAAGATTATTTTTGCGTTCAAAAATCATTCATTATTTACTGTTCTCAAAAACTCATTTCAACTACACTAGTGTGACTGGGGACCTTATGTCCTGGTAAACATGTGATCCCCTAAATCTTCACTCCACATATTAATATAGAATAGAGGAGGGAAGATGGAGTGATGGTCAGAGTGGTTTTAACACCTTTTTTGTAAGGCATAAACAGCATGAGGTACAAAGACTCAAACTGTGAGTGATAAAAGCCTCAAGGTTGAAGTGTGAAATGTCAGCAAGTTTCACTGTAATTGCAGACTCCATGCCCCCACCCCGACTGAACCACTCTTGCTCTCAGTTATCTGCTGTAAATTAGGTGATCTCACACAGATTATCAGATGTATATGTTCTTTCTTCAGATAGATGTTAGTGTTGCACAAAAAGCAGTTTCGCCTCCAAAAACCAACATGAAAAAAGAAAAATATGAGAAAAGAGATTATATCATTTTATGACTTGAATGTATGAATATTTACTGAAAAGAAAACATGCTGTTAAATATACCTGAATATAAAGCTGTCTCATATTCATGCTGCTTAGAACTTAAAATATATCGAGTGTGAGAACAGACAGAGAAGAGCAAGTGTACATATTAATATAGTCACAATGACCTTAACATTTTTACCTGCATAAATTGCGAAATACATTTTAAAGCAATAAACTGCACAAGATCAGGCCAGAAGTGTTACTGGGAGATTTGTTAATTATTACTTTTTGTTTTACATATGCAAAGAGTTTGAAACCCCAAAGCTGCCAACCTGAGTATTCTGTTGGAGCGTCCTTTCAGGAATAACTGTTACACAAACTTTGCTCTGGTGTACGAAGCCCCACAAGGGACGTGGGAGAAAAAAAAAAAAAGACAGACTTTTGCGAGATCTCGCAAAACAAACTCGGGATCTCACAAAAGTTTTAGCCGCATTCTTCGGAGGCCGCCAGCTCGAAGCCGACCAGGAGGTCGAGGCACGATGTGCCGGCTGTAGTAGGTCCGACCTCCCATTAGCTTCGAGATGGTGGGTGTCAGATCTCCGAAAACGTCGGAGCACTTTTGCAAATATGTGATGTCTTGTAAACCGAGCAGATATCTGACGTTTACACAACTACATTCACGCCTCAAAATATCTTAAAAGTTTATTTTGTGACCCAGAAAGAGTAATATTACAACTAAGTAGCTGCCGCCATTGTTGGAATTCAACTTTTGCGAGATCCCGAGTTTGTTTTGCGAGATCAGATTAGCCACAGACATGTGGCTGTAAAAAAAAAAGCTAAAACTGAAAGATAGCAGTCACTCTGTAAGCACTGATGTTACCGTCACATGTCAAATGTCTATTTTGAGAACTACTGCCAGCAGAGACACAGGAAGTCAGTGTGATCGAGATAAGGGTATCTTATAACTGCTACTGCTTTACAAAGATAAAATTCAGGAAAACGAAATAAATTGTACAATATTTATTAGTAACAATGAATTAGTTTTTAGCTGACATTTTCTGTATTCAGAAATCTTTGCACCTGCTCTAAAGCTATATCTCTCTCTATTAACATTCTTCTGATAAGTCTGTCATCGAGGACTCTGTTCTTCATGTCCTGTTTTTGAGGTTTTGATACTTTGTTTTCATTAAAAGATTATTTTTGCTTTCAAAAATCATTCATTATTTACTGTTCTCAAAAACTCATTTCAACTACATTAGTGTGACTGGGGACCTTATGCCCTGGTTCAACCTTCACCCCACATATCCTTCGAACGACTGGTGTTAGCCCATCAAACTGTGAGTGATAAAAGCCTCAAGGTTGGAGTGTGAAATGTCAGCAAGTTTCACTGTCATTGCAGCAGAGCCCCCCACACAAAGAGCGTTTTAGTCTTCATAAACCAACGTGAAAAAAGAAAAATACAAGAAAAGAGATTATGTCATTTTATGACTTTTTATGTCTTTGTACTCCATAAAATGACCTGAAATGCACTATCACATAATTACTAGTATTGGTAATTATGTGACAGTGTTAGCCCTGTGACAGAATGGCGACCTGTCCAGGGTGTACAATGCCTCTCTCCCTAAGACACCTGGGATAGGGTTCAGCCCCCCTGCAACCCTGAAAAGGATATACGGAAGAGAATGGATTGATGGATGTGTGGGAAGGGACATTTATTGTGTTTTCTAACTTTGTTTTTAACCTTGCTTTTAACTTTATGAGTGAACGGCGCTGCTTCCCTGTTTGTTTCTCATGAGGTTTTTGCCGAGATGGAGATTTTTTAACCTTTATTTTTATTGCTGGTTGCGAGGTTTACCTGGAGTTATTCATACTCACAAACATTTACTTACAAATGCGAGGCACCCCACAGGGTTGCTGTCTCTCACCTCTTCTCTTCATTCTGTATACGAATGAGTGTCACAGTAACTTCACTAACAAATACATCCTGAAGTTTGCTGATTACACCCAGATTGTTAGTCTTTGTAGAAGATTTTGTAGCTTGGTGTGATGAGTCCTTCCTTTCATTAAATGTGTAACAATCAAAAGACATGATTATTGATTTCAGGAAGTCTTTGTATAGTTATTCACCTACTATCATTAAAGCTGCTGATATTGAGATTGAGGAGAGTATTAAGGGGTTGTTTTGGACCACAAACTGTGTTTTGACGGCCGTAGTGATAGACGTAGTGACATGACAGCAACATCAGGAAGAAGGAATATGAGAAGCTGCAGAAGTACCAAGGGCTCAGAGAAGAGCTCGAGAAGATGTGGAGGGTGATGGTAACTCTGGTCCCAGTGTAATAGGAGCACTCGTTGCAGTGACTCCCAAGCTAGGCGAGTGGCTCCAGCAAATCACAAGATCTCTGTCCAGAAGAGCGCAGTCCTGGGAACAGCTAAGATACTGTGCAGGACCCTCAAGCGCCCAGGCTTCTGGTAGAGTAAGTAAAAGTAAGTAAAATTTTATTTATATAGCACATTTCTAGATAAGAGATCACAAAGTGCTTTACAAGGTATAGACACAGATTAAAAAGACGAAGTACAGTCAAAAATTAACAAAATGCAATTTTAAAAAGATGTGTTTTTAGGTGTTTTTTAAAAGTAATCAGTGAATCAGCAGGTCTTAAGTTCTGAGGAAGAGAATTCCACAGTCTGGCGGCCACAGTAGCAAAAGCTCGATCACCCCTAGTTTTCAGTCTCGTATACTTAATAACAAGTAGGCCCTGACCACAAGACCTCAGAGACCTACTAGGGGCATAGGGCTGTAAGAGTTCAATGATGTATGATGGTGCTTGTTCTTGAAGAGCCTTAAATGTGAGAACCAGAATCTTAAAGTGGACTCTGAATTCGACAGGGAGCCAGTGTAACTGTATAAGCAGCGGTGTTATATGTGAGTATTTCGATGTTTTCGTCAGAAGCCTTGCTGCAGCATTTTGGACAGTCTGCAGACGCTCCAGGGAACTCTTGTTTAGACATGTAAACAGTGAATTGCAATAGTCCAGTCATGATGAAATAAAAGCATGAATAACAATCTCCAGTTCAGTATGAGCTATTATGGGGCTCAATTTAGAAATATTTCTTAAATGATAAAAGCAAGACCGAACCAGAGATTTGACGTGAGTATCCAATGTAAGAGCAGGATCGAAGGTTATCCCTAGGTTCCTGATAGATGGTTTCACAAACGTTGAAAGGGGACCAAGAGCATTCATTATGCTGGGTACATGTCTGTCTGGAGCACATAACAGGACTTCAGTTTTATTTTCATTTAGTTGGAGGAAATTGTCTGCTGGACCCGAGCTTGAAGGATAGACACCCGCAGGGGCGAGTGGGGAATTCATATTATTTTATTATTATTTGGTACACTTGGCATTACTAGTTAAAAAAAATGGCACTGATTTGCCTTTTCCTGTTTCCTCATGCTGATGTAACTTTCCTGCCTAATATTTAACTAGTATCTCTTCTTTTTCCTCCTCAGTGTGTCAGCCAGCATTTACGGTGCTATCTGTGTTTGTTGCCCACCCATCCTCCCCAATTACAATTGGATACCGACCTCTGCAAATTTTACTTCATTTACTGGTTGCACAATTTTTTAACTTCCCTCAAAAAATCCTTAAACTTCTACCAGTTGTCACATCCTGCATTTGGAACCCTTGATTTAGAGAAACTTTACAGGTGACAGGAATCTGGGTGAACTTTAAATCAGGTATGGTCTGATTTTTATAAGTCAAATACTTTTAAACTCTTCATAGTGTCAGTGTTGAGGACAGCTCAGTGTTTTAAGGTCTTAAAATGATTGCATTTGCCATGATTGCAAATGATTGTGTCAAATGTCATAACCATATCCCAGTATGCTTTACTGTGATTCTGCAATCTGCTGCAGAATATTTGAAAGACAATTTTGAGGACAAGGACAACATTAATAAGTCCAGCTCAAACTCAAAATTGTTCTTCTCTGTTTGCAAAGATTAGTGCAATGAAATAAAAAGATTCACAGCAGAAGTCATATCAGCAGAGATAAAGAGACATATTATGTGGGTACTGCACATGAAGAGAAACTAAACACTTCACACACCAACCTGAGAGTTTTTAACCACTCACAGTTTGTTCCAGCCTCAGTGGTACTTTTTGATGACAACTTTAAAAAAAAAAAAAAAAAAAAACAGTGTCTAAAACCACTAACCAAATGTTGCAACACTGCTGATGTGTTTCATGCATGCATGAAAACTATTTTTTTGTAAACTTAAACTTGGAAAGCTGTGCATATTTCTGCTTATTATTTTATGTGTACATCTGGACTTATCCACCATGTTTGCTGTGCAAGTTTCACAGTGATCCAAGCAACTTTTTTTGTAGCTTGTATTCAGATGTCTTCTATGCAGTGTTGGTCAAGTTACTTGAAAAAAGTAATCAGTAACTAATTACTGATTACTTCCCCAAAAAAGTAATCCCGTTACTTTACTGATTACTTGTTTTCAAAAGTAATTAATTACTTAGTTACTTAGTTACTAAGTTACTTTTTAAAAACACGATTTACAACCTGAATAGGTGATAAAGCGATAGTTCTTTCAGCCCAATTCTACTTTTTCTGCATAATCCATCATACAAAATGTAATCAAATGGAAAAGTCTCTTTTTAAAACTTGTTTTATTAGTTTTAATCTTTTAACTTTATGCATCAAGCAAAAATTTAATTATATGCAACATTCTCTGACTGGAAGAAATTTGTTTAATATTTAAACCTATTTTCTGCACATTCCAGCACATAATTTTTTTGTGTGTGTTTACACTCATCTTTCAAATAGATGCAAGTAAAACACAGCAGAAAATAAATAAAATCAAAGACTAGCGGTCCTGTTGCTCTATTTTCACCTGTAAAGCAGGAGTAGGGTAGGCGGAGGTTTACCCTGGTGCAGGTGTGCCGAAGAATCCGCGAGTTTCTCTGTGAATTTCCCAGTTACGTCGACTCGGTGCTTGCTTGGAAGTTTAGGGGTTTTTTTCGCTGTAAAAAGAAGTTTTCTTCCCACGCACAACGGACACTAATGTTTTTGTCACTTTTTATGGAATCAAACTCAAAGTAAGGTCAGTACTTCCACGCTTTAAACGCTGCACGCTCATACTCTCTCCCGCACTCGATATATGATCCACTGTTGATCTGCACACAGCTGTTGTCACCAACGTCGCACTCGCTTACGTCACTGTCATGAGACATTCTCGTAAAAAAATCACGGTTTTAGTAACGCAGTAACACAGCGTTCCTATGGGAAAGTAACGGTAATCTAATTACCGTTTTTGCAATAGTAATCCCTTACTTTACTCGTTACTTGAAAAAAGTAATCGGATTATTGCCCATCTCTGCTTATATGTGAAAATGTTGTTGGGGAAAATATATTTCCCTGTTTCATTGAAAGGACAGTATAGTAACAGTATAGTTCTGAGGGACTTGGAGATTGAGAGTTTCATGGTGCAATTTGAAGTGTTTTCAGTGTGAGAAAATGTCAGAAAACACTGAGGTTCCTGTGGTTATTTTGTAGCATTAGAGCACAAATATCAGGCCAGTGTCTTAATTTACATAACTGTGGTTTCTCAGCATACGACATCACATCTGCTTGAGACTGCATGTGGAAAATATACCTGCAGCCTTCAGACGTCTCCAGAGAACTGCAACTAGCAAGCAATACTCTTCACTTTCTAACTGCTGTGGATTACAGAACTGGTAAGAGTAGCAATTTATTTTTATTCCATCTGGATGACCATAAAATTAAACATCAGCTGTTAACTGCTTGTGTCATGTTCATGCAAATTAAAAGCCTTTAAAAACAACATACCATAGAGACAAGTTGTATGTGTACAAGTTTAGGAACCGTAAAATACCTGCTGTGTAAAAAAATTGTTTATTTGAAAAATTTTAGACATAAAAGAACAGTTTATGAACATCACATCATTTCATGCAGACACCAAACGATACTTTTTTCTTTGATTTGCTTTGTGCTTGTTTAAATAAAAGGTCATATGACACAGGTCAGAGTGGCTGTTAATTACAGAACAAATCTAAAATGATTATATTCACTGTTAAATAAAATAATCTACACCAAAAGCGACATTACAGATGCATTTTTTTAAATCTAAAAATGAAGTTTAAGAAGGGAAAAAATATAATGTGAAGCTTTTGCATGGACCAAATATATTAACTTAAGTTTCTGTCACTGATGGCTCATTTTACACAGCTTCTGTGTCTCAGCCATGTGGAGACAATGGAGAAACTTCTTCTACTTGGCCATCAGTGAGATGCATTTCATATTTTTCAGATATTCTTAAACTGGTATACAAATAGAGACTCTAATCAGTGCTCACTTTTTTCCCACATAATGAGTTGTTTTTTGTTCTACAGTCTTTCATCTGTCTGGATCTTCAGCTGCTGCAGGTCAGTCATGCATGTACCTTTTTCATAATAAAACACAGGTTCATGCCTTTACACCCATTTTGTAAAATGTTATATCCATGATCTGATTGGTCAGTTCAACATATATAATTCTGCGATTATGATAAATGTAGTGCTTTTTGTACGTATAATTATTTTGATTAGATTTATTCTGTTCTATTCTATTTCTCTAATTTTCAGCATTTTTGTGCCTGAAATGAGCATCTGGTTGTTGTTCACCTATTTTTTTCCTTTACTGTAACAGTTAAAGGAAGGTTGAGAATATAAACCCACATCAACCTGCCCAGTGAATATTCTAAAATTACTTTTGATAATAACATATGAACCTTTTTCTGATACAAATAAAATATTTTTGCTTACAAGCAGAGAAAGCAAACGCATAACTTATTTAAGGAATAGATATAATTGCAGTCTGCAGAATTCATATTCTACAAAGAAAGATGTCTTTAAACTTGTAAAATAAAACTAGATTGCTGGCCCCCAAAGTAAATCTTGCAGGAACGATATATACAGACTTCTAAAAGAATAAATTGTCGTTTCAGAATCTATCAGCTGATTTTCCACATAATTTTTAATGTTAATATATTGCAAAACTAAAAACTAAAAGTGTAAAAGAAATAATTATCTCAAGGGCACCAGATTACTTATATCAGAACATCAGATATTCTGAAGAAGGTAAAAACTGAGGTTAAGATTAAACACCTCCATCGCCTGAAGCCTTTAACTGATCTTATAATGAAAGATAAGTTCACAGAAATGTAGGCAAGAGGTTTAATCTCACCACTGTTAAAATGTGACTCAGGATTGAAACTTGTGATTTCATTAAAGAACTTAAAGAGCAAACATACGCAGATCAATCCAATGTCTGATGATGGTACATTTGCATAAATGAACTGCAATATTCTTACAGCTGTCCCATGAACAGTATTGTAAAATAACTGAAATTTACAGGGGGGGGTCTTTTTACAAAATAATCAATATTGTACCTTTATATAGCTTCATATTTAATTTAATAAATTAATATTTTGTAAAACTAGTAACTTGGTCATTTTTGTGTGGCCCGGAAAGTTTCAAAAGGTTTTTATGGGTTTCGTAGAAAAACCAAGGCTTTGACAAATCTAATGTTTGAAAATCTTTGACATGCTTAACTCTCTGTTTCAAAACACCCCTTGACACCAGCAGGTCATAATTGAATATGCTGATAGAAAGAGAAACAGGTCTATATGGGTTCAGGGAATCCAAAGAAGCTTGTGTACTAAACACTAACTATTGTGCAGGTAGCTTAAAAATGAAAAAGGTAGAAATATCACCTCAGTCATTCATTTTGTTAAGAAGCCTACTCTCCTTTCAACATCACAGAGCAAAGAGCTGGTTTAATGTCCTAATAGTTGACAGTTTTTGTGCTAGCGTGGTGTAGTAATAAGCTAATAAACGTGAGTTTTAGAAAATTGATTTGCAGATGTCATGTGTGTACTGTTGTCCCCGCTGCTCTGATTGTGAATGGTGTTTTTTCCCTCACTGGAAATTAAATATTGGTTTTTTTTGTTCAATTTGGATTTTTTGTTTTGTTTTGTTTTGGGTTTTTTGTTTTTTTTTTGCAACACCAGTTTTAGGCTATGTCCACAGTAATGCGTTTTCATTTGAAAATGCATTGTTTTCTCTCCGTTTTGGCCTCCTGTTCACACTGACACGGCGTTTTCCCCAAGGAAAAACACAGCATTTTGAAAACGCTCTCAAAAACGCATACATTTCAAAACAGAGCTGTCCCGTCGCAGTGTGGACACTCGAAAACGCAGACTTTTGAAAACGATGACGCATGTAGGTCATATGATGCAGTCATGTAACAACTTAAACCAAGATGGCGGATGGCATCGGACAGCAGTTGTTTTGTTTGCTCACATTTTTGGTAGTCGAGTCGTCTTGCGTTTCACGCATGCGCGGAACTGCAACGTCAGCGTTTTCGACCATTTTAGTGGTTCAGGAAGTGAACTCTTTGAAAACAACTGAAAACGCTATTGTGGACGCAGGGTGTTTTGAGACAAAAATTTTCAAATCTATCCAGGCTAGTGTGGACGTAGCCTTATAGAGTCTCCATGTTTCCTCAGTACTTATCCGAGAGTAAACATTGGTTTACTATAAACAGCCTCCTTTTGTTTTGTTTGTTTGTTTTTACTTTTCCTGCACTGTCAGCAAAACAGTAGCTCATGGTTAACATTTAGTCTTTCCCATCTACAAAGTAATATGCCGGTTTAGGATTTTTCATTACATGTATGTGGGAACATTATCAACATCAAGCATTGTCAGTCTTATCTGTATGTGACCTTAACAGTGTTATACTGGTAATTTATAAAGTATATTAACACAATGACTAATGTCTAAAAAGTCTTGTGCTTCTATTAAAATCCCTGATTGAGGTTGAGAAAAGTATACTGGCAACTAGACAGAAACAGTACTGGCCTACATTAAGAACTCTATTTTAACAGCAATGAAAATATATTGCGAGAAGCACAGGAAATAAACAGGATTGTAGCTGAATACACCAGCATGAACCAGCATTATTCAAATCGTTTTGCTTGTTTGTTTAAATTATCCATTGTCTATCATTTTTTCCCCTTTGTGATATAGAAAATGGTACTTTGATATGGAGTATATTTCTGGGTATCGGACATGCACTCTTTGTCAATTCCAGATTGGCTCAAGTTTTCTGTTATGGAGGTTGCCCCACAGTACTCTCATATCTGCATCTTTGCCTGAATTTTACGTTCCCTTCCTGCTGGACTCAGGGAAGACACTGACTTACGAACTGAATCACAAATTGGTTTTACTCAAAAGTCTCAATACTCATAAATTTTATTGAATAATTCTGAGCATGTCTCACAAGCAGATTAGTTAATTATGAAAGACTGTAAACTATATTAGTAAACAATGAATATGTCTTGATGCATGCTCAATCATCCAGGTAAGTAAACAATACTTTTAAAAAGTTGGTTATTTATGTATAAACAAATGATTATTCAATATTTTAATGGGAAACGAAAATAAAAAATTGTGATTTAAAGTGACTTTTTTTTTTTTTTTAAGATTGTTATTTCAACTCAGTATCACAACGTGTAATAGACACGCTGGTGCAGAAGTTGCATTACCAGCAGGGGGCGACAATATATTAAAAGTCAAGAGGTTGGCATTGAGCAAAACAAAACAGTAAAAGTACATTTCAGGGTCCTTATTTGCCAAAAATGATTAAGCGAGGCAGCTAATATGTATATACATGTAATTGTCTTCATAATGTCTGCTTAGACACTTTCCGTGATTATTTTCATGTTGGTTTGAAATCAGTAGCGGTTTTTGATACGGGCGAACGGGCGGTTGCCCGGGGCGGCATCGTGGTGGGGGGCGGCATCACGGGCATCGGCAAAAAAAAAAAAATTGCTCGTACTCATGCTGCCCCGACGTATGCCAGCGCATATTGGGAATGGCATAGGCACCGATCGGTTTTCTATCGCCCATTTGCTGGGAGTAAGGGCGCCCTCCTGCGGCTCAGCAGGGGCGGATCTAGAAGGGTGGCATGGGGTGGCAAGTGCCACCCCAGTTTTGCATATGACAGTGTTGTTTATTAAAATAAGATAGCATTAACAGTTTGAGCGTAGTTACAGTCAACAGTTAATATAAATGCTAAAACTGAATATATTGCATAGTGTTCCCCCCCTCCACCATTAACAAATGGTTCAGCCCATAGCAGGACCGGCTTTTTTCTTGTTTTCAGTAGCAAGGATGCTTTGATTGTGCCAGAGCACATTTTGAACAACAATCTCTC